TTAGCAGCATGGTACTGTTAGCAGTGTGGTACTGTTAGCAGTGTGGTGTTGTTAGCAGTGTGGTTCTGTTAGCAGCATGATAACGACCGCGGCAACGGATGATGACTGCCCTCTAGAACATCCAAGGTTTTTTCTGCAGAACCGAACGTGTCCATAGAGTTTGGTCAGTACAGGCAGATGGAGGATCATGGAGACAGCTGCTATGACAGGCCAGAGCCTGAACCCGTGACTGGAAGGGGGCCGGGAACTGAACCACGATGGCAGGATGGCAAGGCAGCAACACAAAACTACTAAAGTGCACCACGGTCATACCTGTAGTGTGGGTGCGCAGCGTAGGTGCCAAAAGTTGAAGCAAAACACAACAGGAACAAAAAAAAGAGCGTCGAAGCAGAGCTCTAGTCAGTGCTGCCATACTGTGGCACACGTGACGTCACAAATATAAGCATGGGTTGACAGTCTAGAGCACATGTGTGAAACTTAAGGAAGGCCCGGGGGCCAAATATGGCCCTCATTAACATCTTACCCAGCCCATCAAGATGACATTTCCATATTTTCTCTAGGTTACTTTCCTTGGGAGGGTGCTCATCTCGTCGCCGTTTTTAGGGTTGGGGGGGGTGGAGGTTGAGTGGAGCCTTATGTTAGTATTACTGTCAGTTGTAAAGTCTGCCGATGGGGGTGGATTTTGTAGGTGGTGTGCCCAGTTCTGTTGACAGGGTGGGGTGCCCTCCTTGGATAATTGTGTGTGTGTGGGGGCACTGCATTTTAAATGTTAAATATTTTTATTGCTTCTCATGCTTCATTTAGTGCAGACTTCTTTGTTTGATTTTGATGAGGAAAGAGCAACAACAGATGTCAAATGAGACCATTTAAACTTGTGCTGATGAGCATGCAACAAACAAAGATGTCAGGTATCTGACGACTTCATGCACCGACTGTGCCTGTGGTGTGGATCCACTTTTTAATTTTGGCCTCCTTTTTAACAGAGTTTCGACACCCCTGGTTTAGTGTTACATTTAGAAATTTCAAAAATAAAATTGTTGTTTTCCCTACTCTTTACAAGAGCCAGTTCTTTGCCCTTGTTCTGTAACATAAATACCAATAACTTGACTATTTATTAGCGGTTTCATTTAATAATGTAGCTGTAATTTTTGGTGTGGTTATTTGACAGCGAGTTGTATTCTCTTTATTTAAAGCTGTACGTTTTGCTGCTTTTCTGGATGAGTTTTATTTAGAGAAGAAAGGGCAGAAATGTCTATTAAATGCAAAGGTTGCAGGACACTTTGAATCTCACATATTGGATATTTACTGTTCATTTTATTGTCTAATATGAGTTTAAACTGCATAATGCACTTTTTAATCAGCATGCCAACTTAATACAAGTTTCTATTTTACGTCAAAGTTAAAGATGTTTTATAAGAGCAGTCATACCGGTATTTATTACGGATAAAAGAATCAGGAAACTTAAGTTAATGACTGACTTTAAGCAAATAATAACGATGAACTATAAGTTCACACAGATTAACACTGTTGTTTTATTAAAAAAGTAATTGATGTTCTAAGAGTGGGGCCGTCTTAACGCCAAGAGGACCTTCTTTTATTGTTTACACAACTTTGTTGTTGTTTTTTGTTTGTTTGTTTACCAAGATGTCAACCATAAACACAGGAGGCCGCAACAGTTTTTTAGTTGTTGTATCTGATGAGCTAACTCTGTTAGCTGCAGATGCTAACAGTCCAAGTTAGCCAACATGCTAACAGCTTTCGTTACTAGCAAGAGAAAACGTGACGTCACTCCCTTTACTATGAGGTTGTAACCGAACGCACGAACAGCTAGCGTACGTTAATTAATTCGGTTAGGGGGCTAACACAGCTCCGGGTCTGAACCTTGATGTTTTCTTGCTCAGCCCTCCTACCTTCTCCGCTGCGGACTCCGTGGGGGTGACGGAGCCGACGGCGTTCAGGATCAGTCCCATTTTCAGCCCCCAACATTCGCCTCTCATTCCTCCAACTGACCGCTGGATAACATAAACATGTAGCTGAGCTGAGAATGTCTCCAGCTACTTGTCGGTTCTGTTCCGGCTGGCAGGCCGCTGTATGCGCCGCCTCCTCCGGGTCCGGGACATTTCAGCTGGGTCGTGTCGGTGCCGCTGCCTCTGAGGCCGCCGTTACACAAGCCGCTCGCCCCCCGGCCTGCCCGGGCTCTGGGATCCGGTCAGCTGGGTGTGGCGTGGACACCGAAACCAAACCCCCCATGTGCGCAACGTGACGGCTGTTCAGTTCCGCGGATCCAAGCTGGGTTTGCGGACTGAGCCGTGATTGGACAGTTCGGCTCAGCTCGGAAAAGATTAACCAATCACAGGCCGGTGCGTCTCGTGGTGAAGTATTTGCTCATAATTACTTTATTCCGAGTCAATACTAAAGACAGATCTTAGTCAAACGTAGAATCTTGTACACCACTTTCTCTTTTTTATATATTATATTCGAATAAATTTGATTGTTTATATTATTATTTCCCAAAACACTGTGTCCTGATGCAATAATCCAGATACATCTAACAAGATTGAGTCAGGTCCTCTGGTTCTTCTTCATTGAAATGTTTCGTCTTTTATCCAAAAGCCTTCTTCAGTTTGAGAAGCTGCACCTTCTTATAGCGGATCAACCAGTTAGCTGGTGACAGCAAAAAAACTAGTTGTTCACATGCAAAAGAAAGACCTAACAATAGACCGTTAGTGCGCTGATGGCTGCTTGCTATTCACAGAGGGCTGAGTGATACTAGCAATAACAACATTATAAGAGGGGGACATTTGAACACGGAGGCCACTGCCTGTTTAACGATGGACGGGTTCTCTTCACAATAAGTGTGATGCGTTGTCAGCATTGTATGTTCCCATACAATGACGAAATTAGTTCTCTGCATTTAACCCATCACACTGAGATACACTCAGGCGGAGCAGTGGAGCAGTTAGGGATTAGGTGTCTTGCTCAGAGACATTACTGCATGTGGGCATGGTGGGGAATCGAACCGCAATTTTCTGGTCTCAAGTCGGCTGCTCTGCCTCTACACCAGCTCAGCCCCCTACATCAATGCCCCCTCACACATCAGGAGGAAGATCATGTCCTCCCCCCGTCCAAGGAGCTCCGTCAGAAGTACAACGTGAGATTCATGCCCATCCGCAAAGATGACGGAGTCCAGGTTGTTCGTGGACACTACAAAGGCCAGCAGATCGGCAAAGTGGTGCAGGTTTACAGGAAGAAGTGCGTCATCTGGGGAGTGGTGGCACAGAGGTTAGAGAAGATGGGCCTGTGATTGGAAAGTCGCAGGTTCAACTCCCCGGACTGACATCAAAATGTGGGTGGAAAAGGTGAAACACCCACACCTGCCTCCACCCTCATTTGCCCCACTCTGGGCCCTTGAACAAGGCCCTTAACCTCCACTATCTGCTCCCAAACAGGGCTCTCTTGAAAATGAGTTCTTGTGACTCAATGAGACTACCTGTATAAATAAAGGGTAAATATATATATATTTTTATCTACATTGAGCGTGTGCAGAAAAAAATCCAATGGAACCACGGTTCATGTCGGCATTCACCCCAGCAAGGTGGTTATCACCAGGCTAAAGCTTGACAAGGACCGCAAGAAGATCTTAGAACGTGAGGCAGAGTCTCGCGCCGTTGGAAAGATGAAGAGCAAATACAAAGAGACCATTGAGAAGATGCAGGATTGAAAATAATCTTTTGCTAACACTAAACATCACAAAGATGCTTCTTTCTCTCCTCTCTCAAAAGTGTTCCTCGCTATCAACGACGTGAACATCTTCATCCCTGAACAAGTGACCGATGGCCTGGAGATGATGTTGCTCTTCTGTGCTGGTCCATCCTTTTGGCCAGTGGCTGTTTAATTTCCCCGATGTAAGACAGATCACAGCCCTGATACTGAACAACAAACACAATATTAGTCTGTTTTTAGCTGGGGACTGGATCGGTCTTTGCTGTAATGTGTTTTGGACAACGCTTCATGCAGAAGCACTGGTCCATCTTCCCTTAAACCTCCTTCTTTTGGCTGTTGCCTTTTCACTGGTCGTCACAGCGAGTCATCCTGGTCCTCTCTGACTGCGTCCATATGTCTCCTCTTTGTCTTTTTCCTGGCAGCTGCATTTCTAACATCCTTCTATCTCGCCCGCTGTCGTCTGACAACTCAAAACAGATGCAAATGCAAAGTTCCTTGATTTACAAAGTAAACCACATTATTTTCTACCAATCAGCAGAGTAAATACATGGATGGTGTATGACATGGCCTTCTAAACAAGTCAAACGAAACATTTAAATTATTTTAATTTAAATAAATAAAAGAACAGAAAGGCACAAAAGGATCATTTAGATTTATTATCAACTGCACTTTACTAGATGTACTGTATGTCTTTTCTGAAAAAGGCTACCTAACTTTTTAAACTGCCTTTAATGAATGATAGAATTTACAGTTAGTCCTTATAAATATATTATAAAATCTGTGGCATTTTAATTAAAATGAGCTTTTAAAACTAAATTACGTAGAAGTTTTATAGAACACATTATTAGGCCTCCTCAGAATCTCCCAGAGAGACAACATGACACTGACATTTAGGACAGTGATGTTTCATTAAGTGGTTACTGAAGAATAAATGCAGTTTCATGATTTGTTACCAGCATGATTATTTCTCCATCTGTCGTCAGTTTTAATAGGAAATCCTCACCAGTCTCTTTCATGAGGCTGTCTGTAGGGTATGCCTAAAAGATTAAAAACATCCTTCTCTGTCGGCGTAGGGAGGGGAGAGCCTCCGTGTACTTTCACGCCCCCTTGACGTACCACGTCTCTGTTGAGCGAGTGCTCCGATAAGCTCATGCTTTTTGTCTTTGCCAGGGCTCTCATTGAGCGGTTGAAGTGCGCCGAGCCGGTGAAATACATGAGGGAGCAGGCAAACTCGCTGTACGGCACCACGATGACGTCCAGCCTGCGATGGCGGTGGCCCGGTCCGGGCAAGCGGCACACGCCCATGTATTTCTTCTGCTCTCCGTTCTCCTCGTGACTCGCCAGATCGTCTGTTAAAAACCCTTGGAAACAAACATTTGAGAGGTTGTTTTTTTTTTCCCCAGCTTTTAGAAAAGAAAGAGAAACATTCAAATTAATTTAACTTGGCGGGGGGGAAACGAAAGTTTACCACTGTCATGGAGGAGCTGTAACACTTTGCTGAAAACTCCTCTGTGGGACTTCCCGTCGGGATGAGAGATAAGAACGTCAACATCTCCGCACGTAGCCTTTCCACGACGGTAAGAGCCGCATGCCATCGCCACAAGACCCGTGTCTACGGCTTGTGTGGCGTCCCTCACCTGCACAGAAGAAAAAAGTTACCGAACTTTCTGCCTTATAAGTCGCATCTATTATGCATCATCGCTGACAACCCAGAAATGTGGGCCGGTGTTGTGCCAAAAATCGATCGGCTGCCAAATGGCGACCGAGGGAGCGTGCACGGGAGGACTTTAACAAGAATTTAACAAGATTAACACTTAAAAACAATTGTTTGTTTGCTCGAAATTATAGTAAAAGTGTTCAATTTAACTTTTCCTTAATAAACGCACTTTAACAGTCAAATCAGCTGCATTTCGCCTGGGCGACGCAGCGAAATGCAGCTGATTTGACGTTTGCTCCCGGAGTTCTGGAGAGACGAAGATGGCTCTGTATGGCAAGTTAAGCGTCTCATTAATAGCTACTTTTACCTATTAATTTGCCCTTTTCCTTTTAGCCATCCTATTTCTAAAAAAAAAACCAACAAAAAAAACCCTGCAGTATGACTTTTTATAATTGTTTATTGTTGTTGCTGTTGTCCATTGTTGTCATCTTTCTTTGTTGAAATCAGGTCTCTCTTGTAAATGAGTCCTCGAGGCTCAATGGGATTTACCTGTCTAAATAAAGGTTGAATGAATTAATGAGACACTTGGCTTGCCATATTAGTTGAGGGCCCTCTAGTGGCTAAAAATGGTAGTGTTCAATATTTTCCATGTCAGAATGAATGAAATCGTCAGATCTCAGCCAAAAATTGGATTATAAAAATGGGGGTGGGGTGGGGGGGTGTATTAATGCATTGCTTCGCCATATAAGTTGCAGGCATGCTAATTTGTGCAATAAGCTGCAACTTATATGGCGAAAATTACGTTATGTGCAAAAATCAGTTAAGTCATCCCCATTTTGTTGCCATCTGTCCAAAGAATCTTGCAGTTTGTCCAGATACAACTTATATAATTTCTCTCTGGGATTAATAAAGTATTTTTGAATTGAACTGAACTGATCTTAGAAAGAGAATAATTTTCATCTTGTGGATTCTCTTCCTTTCACTGTGTTGCCCTCACAAGGAAACAGTCATTTTAACTGTTCCCAGTCAGATTTTCTTTTTAAACATATTATTCTGACATACTGAGGCAGGACACGTGTTTTTGTCATTTATATCTTGCAATCTATCTGACATGTTTGTAGAAAAAAAAATCCAAGTAATATAATATGAAAACAACTAACTTCAGATGTAGAATTATCTTAGAATGCAGAAAGTTTCAGGATTGACTTTTCCCCTTTGGGATGCTCCACTCAGCGAGAACAGTCTGGTGCTTTCATTAAAATTCAGCCACGAACGCCGTTTCTGGCTTTTTCCTCTATCGGAGCCTCAATTTAGCAAATTGTTCATGGTTTGAGGGGAGGAATCCTCTCAGCCATACATAAATGTGGCCAAGCTTAATGAAGTGACGAAAGAGGCAAAGATATTTCAGTTGTCGTAACAGAAAAACACAAACTCGTGGTGGGAAGAATGAAGAGTCATCACCACTTTCTCTATAGCGGCCGCCTCTTCTCTGGGCATCCGGTCGAGGAAGTCGTCGTAATGTTTCAGTCCGATTTTCTGAGTGTTGCTCAGGTGGGCTTTTGAGCGGATGTCCTCCAAAGTGCGAAATCCCTGCAAGACAAAAGAGATTTTTAAGGCTTTTAGGAATATATGATACTGTGAATGCTCGCCTCTGTATAACATATAACCTTAAAAATTGTTCTGAGCATCTCACTTAGTTGTTTTTTTAGGACTGCTATGATAAAAGTTCAGAGATGTCAGTGAAATGTGGTGAAGGAATTACATATGACTCGTACTACGACTAAATAAAACCATATCAGTCCTTTGGTTTAGTTAACAGATTACAGCCCAGAACTTTGGTGGTTTTAAGTATCTCACATGCCTTGAGATATAAAAACTTTTTTTTTTTTACCTGTTGGTACCAGAGTTGTGCCGTTTTAGCTCCTGCTCCCCAGATGTTGCTGAAAAGCTCCAGTACTGGCACAGCCTCTCCGATGTGATCTAGCTTGCGCAGGTGGCCGCTCTCCATGATCTCTTCAATTTTGTCAGCCATTCGTTTTCCTATTCCTGGGATCTGACACGCTTCCTAATGACATTGTGGAGAAAAAAGTGAATAAAATAAACAATACACGTTTTAAAATCCCTGTGGAGTAAAATATGATTCATATAAACATAAGCTCGTGATACCAGACACATCTGGACTAACTTGGAGCTTTTGAATCAGGCTACCTGATATGATGTGACGGGTTTGTGGTAGCTCTTCAGAGCGTTGACAGCCTTAGAGTAGCCCAGTGCCCTCCACTTGTCCCCCTGATGCGTGTAGGCCTTGGCCAGCACTTCAAGCTTGTCGGTGATGTGCTTGTTGAAGTTGTTACTTTTGGATTGGGAAGACTGGGCGCAGACCCACTTCCCTGAAATCGGTTTCTCAGCAGCAGCATCTAGACCAGGGTTTGAGCTGGCACTGGGGGTCTCCTCCGTAGGCTGCTGACCAGTGATGAGAGCCTCCAGGTCACTCTGACTGACACCGTCCTCTTCTCCGTGCACCTCCTTTTTGCTTTCTGGGCTTGTCTGGGAAAACTGTGTAATATAAAAATGTAGAGGTGATCATAGACTGTTTTCATGAGTTTAGTTTAAACTGAGTCTTTGATAGCAACATGTAACTAAAGCTGTGATCTGGAAACTTACCATGTCTTGCTTTGTTCGATGACTTTCAGACTCTGTGGCATCGTCTGCAGCAGGTTTGATACTTCCAGAGTTGTTTTCTGCATTTTCAAGCTTTGTTTCTGACTGTCTTTACAGAAAATACATGCAAAATTAAAATTTAAACAGCTGAAATTAGATAAAAATATTCTGAAATGTAGCTGAAATGGAAAAACAAGCGTAAATTAGCAGAAATAAGTAGAAAGAAAACATATTTGCTGAATTAAGTTAAAATAAGCAGAAACGAGCACAAAAAAATAGTAAATTAGCTAAAAAACAAACTGAAATTAGCGAAATAAAGCAGAAAAAACATGTTTGCCCAATTAGGCTGAAACAAACTTTGAAATTAGCAACAACAACAACAAAAAACAGCTGAAAAGCAGCTAAAACAGCAGAAAGAAGCTTAAGCTTCCAGAAAGAAGTGGATAGAGCACATTTTAGCTGAATTAGATTGAAAAAAGTTTGAGTGCAAAAACAGTGGAATTAACCAAAAAAGCTCAAATTACCTGTAGCGTTAAAAACAGCTAAATAACTGAAATAGCATAAAAGGCTGAAACTTGCATAAATAAGCTAAAAGGAGCAGAAAAAAGTTAGAAGAAGCACAAAAATGTTGTACTGGTAGTTAGCAGAAAGAATCTAAAAGGATCACAAAACAGATGAAAAAAAACTGATGAAATAAGCTGAAAGTAGCTGAAAAGATGTTTAAATTTGCACAAGGAAGCTGAAAGAAGCTGAAGCAGAACAAAATGTGAAAGGAGCAGTTAACGGTTGTAAATAGATCTAAAAATTTGAAGGATGGAAAATGAGCTCAATTCATTTTTTAAGAGAAAAAAAGTGGAAGAAAAGGCTAAATATTTCAAAAAGCTAAAGTTGCACCAATACCAAAAGTCACAGCAGGAATGTCCTGAAAGAGCTGAACGTTTTTATACATGATTTGTTGAAATAGCACAAAAACTGTGGAACAAGAACAATGCTGAAAAACGTACGGAACAAAAATGGATCACAATAGTGTGAATACTTCATAAACATTCACACAATTAAGTGTATTATTATAGGTGTATAATATACTATACAGTACTATGTATGTGCCAAGCTGAGTATTTTTACTAATGCTTGTTTTCTCAGTTTTAGAGCATAATGTACAAGAAAGAGTGTGTCATAAATTACAAGCACTGTAAGACACAAATACAGCTTAATTAAAAATAAAATTAGATAATAAACCTTTTGGGTAAAAGAAGGCTGTAGTTGTCCACATCCAGCAGTTTCTTCTCACTAATGCACAAGCTCAACCATGTACATTTCACCAGATGGACACCAGAGGGCAAACCATCCACTTTCAGCAAGCGCAGAGCTCTGTCACAGTCCATGCTGTCATCCACAACAACATGAGTGACGCTGGGACACAGTGAGCTCTCGATCCGTCCTCCATTCTGCTCGATTTGTCGGTGAAAAATCTGGCATCTGGCGTTTCCAATTCCAGCAGGCAGAATGAACACAGTGCTTCCATTAAACATATATCCTGTGGACAGAAAAAGATACAATGAGCAAATTCAGTGTGTTTCAAATGTGGTCTTTGAATACATCGTTTTGTTCCTCTAGCTGTTTAAACAATAACTGAATGCACGCATAGACGTAAAATAACCTGTGACATCCCGCTCCTCAGGTTTCTTCTTCAGCGGGGGTGAGTCTTTTCCCTGTAGGACTTTAGCCCTTTTGACTTTGGGAAAAGCTTTCACGATCCCATGATGAGACTCCATATTGTTTGGAGAAGTGAGGAGCCAAAGGCCTGTCAGAATTAGAAAACTATATTTGTCATTCCACTTTACAGCACAGCGGAATTAAGAATAGCTGCACTGAGAGTGTAAGAGACATGTATAAGTCTAAAACTTGTAAAAAAAAAAACAACCCACAAATCTAGAACAAAAAATCAATAACTGGATGCTATAAAAAATTAACAGCAATATGTGTCAATATGTAGTTACTTAAATTAGCTGATATTTACACGTTACATTGGAGCTTTCATTCTCATAAAAAATGTAATAGTGATGTAAACCCTTGTAAAATATTTTTGACAAGATTTTGGATTTATTTTGTCATTTCAAGAATCCAGTTTTACAACTATTAGTACAAGTATTAAGTCTTACAACACTAAGAAGAAGAAATAATATTTGACTGAACACTTAATAAAAAAAAGTCAAAATCCATAGCTGTCAGCCTAGCTACAGCAAAAATAAACAAATAAAAAAAATAACTTAGTGCAAACATTCATTTAGAGACCAAGTAATATTTAGCTAAATATCACTTTAGGGCTAAGATACTTGATGAGCAAATTTCTAATTTGTTTTAAATTTGACAAAAATACCTTTAAAATTTTTCAACAGAAAAAATCTTTTTTTTTTTTTTTAATCTAGTGCTCACTGTATTCCATTATTCATTCATTCAACCTTTATTTATACAGGTTAGTCTCATTGAGCCTCGAAGACTCATTTACGAGAGAACTGTTTTAAACAAAGAACACAGATAAGGTACAAACAATAGAGAATCATATAAAAACACATAAAATGATTATTGTTGATGATTAGGTTACAATGATTATATTATTAGGTTCCATTATTCCATTATTGCCAACCTTTATTAAAGTCATTTTGTTTTTATTAGTTGTAACATCACAATCTCAAGTTTGTAACTACACAGTGCATTGTAGTATTTTGTTCCATTAGTTAAATCTGATGCACTCTTATTAACATGTCTCCAGTAAATTTAACTTTGATAACTGTGAACATACAGTAGTTTAAACTGCAGTGGTTATTTTTAAATAAAGCAGTGAAGTACTAGATAAGATAATACTTTTTAACATTCTGAACTTGGGCTTTCCCACAAAAACACAAAACATCACAGTCAAATGAGAGATACATAAACTTACTTCAGTGTACAAAAATATTTTTCCCACCGTAATGCTATGCAATGTTCATAGTAGATAAATATAACTGTAATACTACGTTAAAGTACACATTTAGTACTAGATTTCAGTAAATAATCACAATACTGACTGACTTGTTTATCTTCTTCAAGTATTTCGGTAATTTCCAGTTAGCACTTTTACAATAATACAGTAATAAATTAATACTTAATAAAACCAGACTAACCTTTGAATTTATGCAAATAATTCACAAAAACAATCAGAGGTTTTGCTTGAGTTCATTTAAAGTGAGCTAACACAGTACAGCTTCAACTTAGTGAAGAATCAGAATGGCTAGGCTAAGTTAGCGTAGAAAACATTAAATAATTTGTATTTACACTACGTCTTTTATGATTTTTTTATACAATATTTCGAATAAGTTTTGTTACTTTCACCGTTTTAAAATAAATGTGACAATTTGAGACTTTATAAAACGTTACAGATAAGCGCTTACCCCTACTCAGGTTGAACCATAACAAGAAGTCCCAAAAGACACTTAAACATTTTACTTCCGGGTCAAAAACTTCCGTTTAGTTCCGGTAAAAAAAAAAAAAAAAGCAATGTTTTAAATAAAAATAATAAAATAACAGGTCAGTTTGAAAAAAATCGTATCCTTATATTTTTAACAGTTTACCTAAATGAATTAAAAGTAAATAAAATAAAAAAGTTTTTGCGTGAGCGTTGAATTAAGTTGCCATAGTTACGCGCTTTAACCGGAAGTTGCTTTCGGAAACATGGCTGTGCAAAGCTGGATAGATGTCCTAAGATTATCAAAGAAAACGGCGTTAATACATGACGGTACGCGCAACGGGGAAACACAAACAATAAATGTATTTAAATTTGGCTACTAGAATCGGTTTTGATTAGCAGCTAATGTGCTAATTTAGCTTGGAAGCTAGCAACAGCGCCTCAAGCTAACAGCTCGCGCACATTTTCTGCAAGTAGACCGTAAAATAAAATAACCAGCATGAGTATAATGTGTTTAGTAATTAAAACTGTTTTAATGCGATTAACAGTGATCATTGATTAACAAAACAATATTCTGTTTTATATCTGGTACTATTTTTTGTGTTTGCATAACAATTAAAAAACAGAGCAGGTTAAAGTCTTTCACTTATTGGATTGCAGCATATAAATAAATAATATATATAAATAAAATATGCTGATATCTACGCACCTCCGTTGATTTGTATAGGACAAAAACATATATTAATTCATTCAGGAGTTCTAGAATTGCACCGCTCAAGGTGGCTGCATGTTGGAGCAGCTGTTATTCATTCTGATTGGCTGCTTTTGAAAACTTTAATTCCTCTTTTTTCTGGATGTATATCACTTTTTAATGATGATGATTTACTCTGCTATCAGATGCTGTGCAGCTGGAAGGACTTTTACTGAAACCTTTTTACTTTTGGACATTTGTTATGATGTGTAACCATGGCAACAAGGTGGTTTTTTTTTTTTTTTAACAACAAGGAGCAGCTGCTTAACATCTCAAAAGCTCAAATAGCTCATCTACAGCCCCAAATCCCACATGAGTTGAAAAGGAGGTGCCGTGGACAAATTCCCGTCAACCTGGCAGTGGTGCTCGAGTACCTGACCACCGAGATCCTGGAGCTGGTGAGAAACTCGGCTCGTGAGGAGCTCTGCAGACTGTTAGGAGGAGTGACCGTCACTCAGGGAGGAATTCTGTCCGGCATTCGGGAAATCCTGCTGCCCAGGAGGACCTAGAGGCCCGCCGGATCTGACAGCAAGCTGGATCTAGGTGGACGGATCGGTATCTGTGGCCAGATTCTTCGGCTTCACTGCAGGAGATCCTTCTTACCCACAGCTATCAGCATCTATAACAACTCTTGAATGAAACCAGGATGATGAGCTACGACAACACTTAATTTCCCTCTGGGATTAATAAAGCATTTTTGAATTAGAATTTAGTTAAACAATATACAAGGTTTGTATCCTTCTCAGTGATGTAAGAACTCTGAACTTTTGTAATACCTGAAATGCAGTTGTGTGAATAGAAGTGTCGTTTTTTTAATTGCTTTTAACACATTTTTGATTAGTCATTAAATTTTTTTGTACTATTTTTGAGGTTCGTTTCATCTAAGTAGGAATGTTCATTCATTGTATTCAAACCATACAGTGACAATAAATATGATTTTATGCTTTTTTGTGACATTATTATAAACAAATTCAAGCCTTTCTTTTCTGTAACTTGACTACAGGGGTGCGGTATAAGGTGCTGTATAATACACTCCTAGAAAAGCTTGCTTTATAAATAAATGATTTGGCTTAAACAACATTTTACATACACTCCACGTTCACTAGAACCACAAACAGCTGCTTTCACTTGATTTACCTGGGTTTTAAAACATATTTGTCATATTACTGCTTTAGTTTTATTTTAGTTTCCTTTAATATGTTTCCTAATTTCACCTCCAGGAATAAGGAAGATCCATTACCTCTTTCCAGATGGAAAAGAAATGGCCGAAGAGTATGATCTGAAGACAGATGAACTCATTGGTAAGCAACAAAGTTCCAGTTTTAGATGGCAATATGGTATTTACACATATCTGTTTTAATAATTTGTGACTTATAACTCTTTTTGTGTGTTACAGTAAGAAAGTGGCGCCATAAAAGCACACTTGGAGGTCAGAGCTCCTGGCAGGTAGAAGTCGGGGAGCCACCTAACTTTGCTGCATCTTTGGACTCAGATGGGATTAAAGAGAGCTTATCCAATGTGGGTATTTTCAGAATTTTCTTTCATTTTTATATTTCTGAATCATCACATGTGTAGTATTCACTATAGTTATGTTTTGTTTTGTTTCTACAGCCGGTTTTCATGCGTAAAGACACAAAAAACAGCTTTCAGTGGCGAATCCGTAACCTTCCCTACCCCAGAGATGTCTTCAGCGTTTCAGTGGTTCCATCTGACAGATGCATCGTCATAAAAACCTCAAATAAAAAGTATATTTGCACAAGACTGTCTGTGTGTACTCTTGTCGCACGCAGGCCTCGTGTCCTTCCTAAAGATGGCACTGTTTACAATATATTTGTCTGTGAGCTGCAGCCCTGTGACAAAGCTTGTGACACTCTCTTCATGTTTTTCCAGATATTATAAGAAGTTTAGTATTCCTGACCTCGATCGAAGCCAGCTGCCGCTCGACGGCTCCGCACTCAGCTTCACACATGCCAACAACACCCTGATTATCAGCGTAAGTCTAGAAAACTTGTGAAGAATCCATTATTCTTTTAAGATTTACCAGCTGCTGGTGATTTTTATGTTGTATGTTCTCATCTAAAAGCATGAAGGCAGCAACCAACACAGAGAAAATAATTACAAAACTAGAGAAATTGCATTTCCTGCTAAAATGCAGTGTGAATGCTTATTGTGGAAGAACTTGCTGAAAAACAGCTGAAATTAGCTTTAAAAAATTCTGAAATGTAGCTGAAATGGAAGAACAAGACTAAGTTAGCAGAAATAACACATATTTGCTGAAATAGGTTTAAATAAGTAGAAATTAGCATAACAATAGTAAATTAGCTTTAAAAAAAGAAGCTTAAATTTGCAAATAAATAGCTGAAAATGCATAAAGAAGCTTAAACTACCAGAAGGAAGCGAAAAGAACTGAAATGAGCTAGGAAAATGTGGAATTAGCTGAAAAAGCTAAAATTAGCATTAGAAGAGCTAAATAGTAGCAAAAAAACTGAAACTAGCAGAAAAAGTTGAAAGGAGCATAACAAGCTGAAATTAGCAGAAGTTAATTAGGCTGAAAGTAGCAGAAACTAACATGAAAAACTTGAATTTATCTGAAAACAGCTGACATTTGCTTAATAAATGCTAGAAATCTAGCCTGAAAAGTTAGAACAAGCTTAAATTAGGATAAGAAAGCAGAAATAACACAAGTTTACCCACTTATGCTGAAGGAATCACAAATGAGCACAAAGAAATTGATATTGTCTGAAAAAAGCTGAAATTAGCAACAACAACAAAAAACCCAGCTGAAAAGTAGCTTAAAAAAACAGAAAGAAGATGAAATTACCAGAAGAAAGTGGAGAGAGAGCACATTTTTGCTGAATTAAGCTGAAAACGTTTAAATGAGTGCAAAAAATGTGGAATTAGCCGAAATGCTAAAATTAGCACAAAACTGTTAAATAGTAGCAGAAATAGCGGAAAAAGATTAAACTTGCGTAAATAAGCTGAAAGGAGCATAACAAGCTGAAATTAGCAGAAAGAGTCTAAAAGGATCAAAAACAGCTTAAAGTAGCTGAAAAAGTTAAAATTTGCACAAAGAAGCTGAAGCAGAACAAAATGTGAAAGAAACAGTAAAAGGATGTAAACACATCTAAAGATTTGAAGGATGTAAAATGAGCTCACTTCATTTTCTATGAGGAAACAGTGGCAGAAAAGGCTAAATATTTCAAAAAGCTAAAGTTGCACCAATACCAAAAGTCATAAAACCCTTCTCCTGAATGAGCTGAATGTTTTGATAAATGATTTGTTGAAATATCTTCAAAAATGGTGGAAGGCGAAAGATGCAGAAAAACGTAAAGAAGAACAATGGATCACAATAGTGTGGATGTTTATGAAACATCCACACTATTGTAGGAATAATGGTATATTTTAAAGATCCACAGATTACTGCTTTGTTTGTTTTTTAACTTTGTATTTTTTTTACAAATACACTGAGGCACAAGAAATACTGATTTCTGTCCCTTTCTTTGTGTTCAGTATAAGAAACCCAACGAGATCTTAACCCTTGAGCAGGAGCTGCTGAAGGAGCTGAAGAAAGTGAAGGGAGCAGATGAAGGAGACGTTGACTGTAAAACTCAGTGAGTTCTGACTGAAAACGACAAGAAGCCGAGACTCGGAGCGTCAGTTTTCAGCCACAGAAGGTTTTGCTGGATTTTACAAAGTGGATCTCTTTGTTAGGACTATCGGTGCCTTACCTCTCCTTGATGCTTTTATTGTGGTGAATAATTTTTGAACTTCCTAATGCTGTAGACATAAATAAAATACATTATTTAAAATAATCTTGTTTTGTATTCATGATTTTCCAGGAAGTTTGGTTTTTTTATGTCTTTAACAGGAAAGAAAATCTTGTTTGAAAAGTCAAATGTTACCAAACCAGTTTTTAAATTGAATTTAATAGACTTTATGTGAATGTTTTTTTTTCTTTCCCCGGTGGGGGTGGGAGGGTCACATAACCTTCCTCTCTCCTTCCACTGATGTCCTTGTAAAACACAAAGCTTCATCCTTGTTCGTTCCGAGGTCACAGTCAGGAACACGTCTGAGTTGTGTTAAATGAATCCCCTCATGTTCCCTCGGCTGCTGACCACCCTGAAAGCATCACTGAAGCTGCTTTTATCGTCTCCTGTCACTAAAGTGCCCTCACTGAAACACTCCCCCAGCTCTAAAAACAGAGACGCAACTTCGAAAATTAATTTGAATTTAGCAAATTTTGCTCTCTGCTTAGAAGTTTACCTCTCAAGTAATTTTAACCGTACGAAATGAGAAAAACAATTGCAGTTTTTGTGAAAATGTGTGGACGCTGAAAGCCGATTGACTGCTGAAATTAGGTCAAGAAGCTAAAACTGAAATGCTAAAGACAAAACAAGCTGAACACAAGCTAAAAAAGCAGAAGGGAAAAGAAAATGAGCAAAACTGTAGCTAAAGCTGTAAATAGCAGCTGTAGGTAAACACTGAAATAGTCAATACTCTTAACTAAAAGCTAAAATTTATAAAATAGCTAAACTAAAGTTACCATACCAGTAGCTAAACATAGCCAAACTGAGCCTGAGCTAAACTTAACAAAACAATAGCTAAACTAAAACAAACAAACCCCTAAATTAACTACAGCAAAACCTCATCTAAAAGCTAAATTTATCAAAACTAGCTAAGCTAAAATTACCTCAACAGTTATCTAAAATTAGCTAAACTATAGCAAACATAGCTGAACTAAAACTAAACTTAAATGTGAAGAATTATCAAAACTTAAAAAAAGCTCAAATTAATAACTGTAGATAAAAGCTAAAAACTAACACAAGAGTAGCCAAACTAACGTTTAAACTTTTTTAAATGCCTAAATAAGAAACAACTGCAGCTAAAAGCTAAAGTTACCAAAACTAAATAAAAGCTAGAATTAGAAAAACCTTATAAAAGCCAAAGAGAACAAAACTTTAGCTAAAAGCTAAAATTTGTAAAATAGCTAAACTATAGTTAGCATACCAGTAGCTAAACATAATGTAACTGAACCTGAGCTAAACGTAACAAAATAGCTAAACTAAAATAACTATAGCAAAGCCACAGCTAAAAGCTAAATTCAGCAAAACTAGCTAAGCTAAAATGACCATAACAGCTAGCTAAAATTAGTAAAACTGTAGCGAAACATAGCTGAACGATACCTAAATTAAAACTAAACGTGAAGAATTATCAAAACTTTTAAAAAAGCTAAAATTACTAACTGTAGATAAAAGCTAAAACTAACAAAAGAATAGCCAAACTAATATTTAAACTTTTCTGAATGCCTAAATTAGAAACAATTGCAGCTAAAAAGTAATGTTATCAAAATTAAACTAAAGCTAGAATTAGAAAAACCTTATATAAGCTAAAGAGAACAAAACTTTTGCCAAAAGCTAAAATTTATAAAATAGCTAAACATAGTGTAACTGAACCTGAGCTAAACGTAACAAAATTGCTAAACTAAAATAAACAAACCCCTAAATTAACTATAGCAAAGCCACAGCTAAAAACTAAATTCAGCAAAACTAGCTAAGCTAAAATTACCATAACAGCTAGCTAAAACTGCTAGCTAAACTAAATGTGAAGAATTATGAAACTTAAAAAAAACAAACTAAAATTAATAACTGTAGATAAATGCTAAAACAAAAAAAGTAGCCAAACTAACATTTAATTGTTTTGAATGCCTAAATTAGAAACAATTGCAGCTAAAAGCTAATGTTAAAATTAAACAAAAGCTAGAATTAGTAAAACCTTATATAAGCTAAAAAGAACAAAACTTTAGCTGAGCTAAAATTAACAAAGCAGAAGCTAAAATTTAAATGTAAAGCCTTATATAAGCTAAAGCAAACAAAATTTTAGCTGAGCTAAAATTAACAAAAGCTAAAATGTAAAAGCATCCAAACTAAACAGAAGACAAAACAGTACAAATGTGCTGATAATTTTTTTAAAGAATTGAGATTTCTGTTTTTGTAAAGGAAATTTGAGTTAAAATAGAGTTCAATATTTTGAAAAGTATAAATTTGACCAAAAATAAAAAAACAGATCAATTAGTTATTATCAATTATCAAAAGAGTGTTACTGATTGAGTTGCATGTTTTGATAAACGGTTAAAAATCAGAAAATGTGAAACCAGTCTGAACGCTGACTCAGCAGTTAGTAACAGTTGTCTGCTCCTGATCCACCTCAATTAAAAGAAGAACAATCCCGTTAGGAAGCCTTAAGCAGTGGATTAAAAGCCAGAGTGCTGTTGTTCAAACAGGACAAAGACATTTAAAAATAGATCGCTTCACTCGTGTGATTCCTTGCATTTTTCTCCACTTGTCCAAACCCAGAGAGCAAGACAGAAACCACACGTCCCTCTCACCATTGTTCACGTCTTCTCCCACACGGAGAGAAAACATTTCAACCAGTCAGCACTGCTGTTGTGAAAATTCTTTTGAGGGACTTGATACATTTATTTTTTTTAAATGACAACTAGAGAAATTGCATGTCCTACGACGATGTTTATTGCTGAAGAACTTGCTGAAAAACAACTGAAATTACCACAGCTAAAAACGTGCTGAAATGTAGCTGAAATTGAAGGAAAAGCCTAAGTTAGAAGAAAGCAGAAAGAACACATATTTGATAAATTAGATTTAAATTAGCAGAAATTTTCACAAAAATTAGGAAATTAGCTTAAAAAAGGCTGAAATTAGCAACAAAAAAACTCAAATGTAGCTGAAAAGGCAGAAAGAAGCTTAAAAATCTAGGAGGAAGTGGAAGGAGCTGAAATGATTTAAAAAAGTGGAGTTGAAAAAGTTACATTTAGCACAAAACAGCTAAAAAAAGGTAGCTGAAAAAGCTGAGACTAGTGGAAAAAAGCTGAAAGGAGCTGAAATTAGCAGAAAAAAGTTAATTAGGCTGAAAGTAACAGAAAATGCCACAAAAAATGTATTTATCTGAAAACAGTTGAAATTAGCTGAAAAATGCTTTAAAAAGGAGCTGAAAATGTATAACATGCTTAAATTAGCAGCAGAAAGCAGAAAGAGCACATTTCCCCAATTAGACTGAGAAGCAGAAATGAGCACTAAAAAGTGGATAGTATCTGAAAAAAGCTGAAATAAGCATAAAAAAACCCCAGCTAAAACATAGCTACATTTTTCTGAAAGAAGCTTGAATTAGCAGTAGGAAGTGGATAGAGTACATTTTTGCTGAATTAGGCTGGAAAAGGTTGAAGTGCAAAAACTGGGACTTAGCTGAAAAAGCTCAAATTAGCATAAAACAGCTAAAATAATAGAAAAAGCTGTAACTTGCATCAATAAGCTGAAAGAAGCATAATAAGCTGAAATTAGCAGAAATAAGTTAGAAGAAGCACAAAAATGTTGTAGTTAGCAAAAAGAATCTAAAAGGATCACAAACGGATGAAAAAACAGCTGAAATTAGCTGAAAAAAGTTTAAATTTGCACCAGGAAGCTGAAAGAAGCTGAAGCAGAACAAAATGTAAAAGGAGCAGTAAAAGGTTGTAAACAGATCTAAAGATTTGAAGGATTTAGAATGAGCTCAATTCATTTTATATAAGAAAAAAGTGGCAGAAAAAGCTAAATATTTCAAAAAGCTAAAGTTGCACCGATACCAAACGTTATAGCACCCTTCTCCTGAACGAGCTGAACGGTTTGATATTTGTTGAAATTGCACAAATATTGTGGAACGAGAAAGATGCCGAAAAACAAACGGGAGAAAAATGGATCACAATGTGCTTCATAAACATTTTCTTCATCCGACCATCGGTGTTTTAGGCTTTTCAAGCAGCCATATTGGTTCTAAAAGTCTAAAAGCTTTTAAAAAAAAAGACATATCTAGACTTTAGTGTTTAAAGAGTTTAGGAGGGTGTTTTTGTCTCGTAATTTCCCGTGTTAAGGGAAAGCAGCAGGTTGGACATCCAGTTGGTGTTCGGTGAGAGCCGTGGAGTCTTGGCCTCCGACCGTCATGCTCAGCTGCTTCTGGGAAGTTTTTTTCTCCCATTCATCCCTGAATGCCTCTTCCCAGCCGTTCCCCTTCTTTCACTCGATGCCACAGTTTGCCACACATGCCCTGGTGCTTTTTCTGCAACTTCCTCTCTGGCAATCACCCCCCACCCCACTTGCTCACCCCTCCCTGTGTGACTGGCTTCTTTTTGATAACTGACCCCTCCTCGTGTTATTATTCGAACCCACTATTGTATAACATGCCCCTTTATATGGGGTCCCACAAAGAGCCCATTTGATCAGAGGGTTACGGTGTGCGATCTTGAGAAATGCAACTACATGGTGGTAACCTTTGTTCGGGCCCAAAATGGTGGGCTGACCTCATCGCTTTCAACGCATAGCTCGGCCCATTCAGGCCCGGGTCTCACTCGCTGAGCACATTGAATTCAGCAGCCCGTCACAGATATCGCCCCTCAGTTTTCTGGGTCCTCGTCGGCTCGAGGAAGATCAAGCAGCAACAAAATCGACACAATTTTTCACGGCGACCAACTTTCCGACTTTCCCGTCCAAACAGACACGCAAGAAAAGCAAACAGCTTTTATTCTTTAGTGGTTTTAATATACACTCTACAATAAATATTCCCATCATTTGATGCAATTTACATTTTTACAGTAAAAATATATTCATATATGTAGAAAAACAAACAGGTTAGCATGTGAACTGCTGTAACCACAGGTAGCTGCCACACCTAGCTTCATTATTTCTCTTTTAAACATTCTTTGTTGCTGAGCTGGCTAACTTCTAACCATTTATGAAGTTACAGTTGAGCTTTTCAGACTTAAAACGCCCTGAATTATTAACAACAACCTTCCTACGGTCTGAAAATAACTAGATTAGATAGATTACATACAATTCAGTACCAAAGATTACAGAATAAATCCACAAAACGAGGCAAAAGTAAGTGTACGGAGCGCTTGATTGTTCCGGTAAATTTCCCTCCAAAGCACGTTTTCTCCTTCGGCGCTGGTTCCAGTGCTCAGCGTCCCCCGGAGCGCTGATGGTGCTGGGAGTGTTTAGTCCGCTTGCTAAAAGACTGCGCGGGGACAGGCAGAGGAAGGGCGTCAAACGGCCTCCTCTCGCTCCGTAAGTGCCCCCGCGGTAAGCGCTTCATGAAGTGGGCCTCCCTCTGGTGCTGCTTGGTTTTAGACGCCTTCCTCGGGCGGCCTTTGCGCGTGAAGGCCATGTACCAGCCCTCGTACTTGGCGTTCTGCAGCGCCGTGTAGTTGTTCTCCAGGACGATTTCGGTGAAGATGCAGTCTTTGCCTCGTCCTTTTCTCTGGGAAGGAATAAAGAAAAAAAGAAAAAGTTAATAAAATGTTAGCACTTCCAAATACGGACCACAAAAACCATTAACGATGAACTGACCCTTTACCATCATCTAAAGGGTCAGTTCACATTTTTGTGGCCCTTGTTTAGGTGCTTCCAAAATGTTGGGATAATCGGCAGGAAGTGGAAACATCTTCAACATTTCCAAGTTTAAAACGGCCGAGCTTTAGCTGCTACAAGCTGCAAGCCTGCTAAACCAACCGTTTCGTTTAGCCACAGATGAGCGGAGCCCAGGTTTACCTTCCCAGTCAGCTTCCCCCTCTTGTTCATACATATGTAGTATCCAGTCTTCACTCCTTTGATTCGAACACGACTCCCAAAAGAATCCGTCTCCACTTCCAGTTTTGCTGCAAAATAAAATATTACAAATAAAGAGACGACAGTTTGAACACAGAACTATGTCAGTATAAAGTATGTAGTAGTATATAGTATAAAGCAATGGTTCCCAACTCTGGTCCTTGAGGAACACCATCCTGCATGTTTTAGTTGTTTCCCTGCTCCAACACACCTGATTCAGTAATTTAATTACGTCTTGTTCTGCAGAAGCCTGTTTAATCACCCATTAATTAAAATCAGGTGCGGCGGAGCAGAGAAACAACAGTAGTTCCCAACCCTGGTCCCTGAGGAACACCATCCTGCATGTTTTAGTTGTTCCTGCTCCAGCACACCTGATTTGAATGAAAGGTGATTAACAGGCTTCTGCCAAACTTAATGAAGTAATTAAATTACTGAATCAGGTGTGCTGGAGCAGAGAAACAACTAAAACATGCAAGATGGTGTTCCTCAAGGACCAGTGTTGGGAACCCCTGGTATAAAGCATGTTTTCTAAAGCTGACTTTTATATTTATTATTATTTATATAACACCAACTTTTGTCTCTATTGCTTTGTTTGATACATAACGTTTGTTTAACACAGATATAACAATAGTTGCTTCATTTTAATAAAAATATATTTAACAACCCCAAGAAGAATTTCATATACACAGTAGGGCTGAACAATTTTGGAAAATATTCGAATTGCAATTTTTTACCTCAATATTGCGATTGTGATTTAATATGTGATTGTTTTTCAATGTCTTCTTCTCAAGTATTTTTCAAAAAACACAAGCAATAAATCAATACGTTTAGTTGCAAAAAACTCCACTGTTTTCAGCACCGCTGCAACTCTGTTTCTGCATTTTTTTGTGTAGCTCCGGGATAGCAACTTGGCTAAAATGTGTGCGCGAAGGCATTCTGTACCACTTATCCATTGTGTGTACCAAAACCATAAACCCAGGCTTGGTCACTATATTAATGGGCATCATGTCTTTCACTATGAACTCCGTTATTGCTCGAGTTATTTCCGTGTGCCGTTCCGATTTATGATCATACGGAGTAATACGTTCGGTCAGTGATCCCTGTCGGCTGCTACTTTGCTTACTTTAGTTGAAGCACTGGTCGTTGGCATTGTAGCCATGCAACTATCATAAACGGCTTTGTGGTGTTTTTTTAAGTCTTGATAAAGATTTGTGGTTTTACCTCGAGAGGTAGCAACAGCAGCAAGGCAGGTTCTGCACAATACATGTCGTTGCGCAGCGTCTTCTTTTGTTATAGCCAAAATAATTCCAAACAACGGACGCGCTGCCGCTCTTTGGTACCAAACGTTCAGACATATCAGCTTCTGTCGAGCCTGACGCCATTGCGCAACCAACCGGTTGAAACACAGTGTTGACTTCTCCCGCTCTCTGCTCCGCTCCGCTCACTCGCAAATCACGTAACCAGATCACGTGACCAGTCAAACTGCAGCCTTTGCGATTAGAAAATCTCGTTTTAGCGTAATCGCGATATTATTGCAAATTGTTCAGCCCTAACACACAGAGATGCTGTTTTATTTTGTGTTTTCACCTTCACCATGAGGTCTGTGCAGCAAAACGTCTACATGAAGGCAAATTCTGTCATTTCCTCAGATTTTAGCTTATTCTTTAAAACCAAAACTCTGTCGGTGTATCTTATTCTGCTATGCGTAACCTAGGTAAGTTAGGATTATTGTTAATATTGCTTTAAAAAACACTGTTGCAGTGTTGCTCGCTGTTTAAGTTGCTGATTTTGGGGGTCGAGATGGGGTAGAGGTAGGGCAGCCGACTCGGGACCTGAAAGTCCCAGGCTCGATCCCCAGCCATTCCCACAAGTCGTGATGTCTCTGAGCAAGATACCCAATCCCTAATTGCTCCCCAGGCACCTAACATAGCTGCCCACTGCTCCACCTGGGTGTATCCCAGGTGTGATGGGTTAAATGCAGATAATTTATTTCACCATTGTATAGGAACATACATTGATGACAACACATAGCACTTATGATTTTCTAGATCTTGGACTTTTCCCTCTTGTCATGACGCTTTAAAAGTATTCGGTTCGTGAAACAGTGGGCTTTGTTGCAGACATTTGTTTTTAACTTCAGATGAAGGGCTGAAGGATTAAGAATGGCAGATTGTTAGTTTCTTAAAAAGTAGCAGGTATTGGCTGATTAGTCAGTCCATTTAAACCTACCATATTTTCCGGCCCATAAGTCACACCTTTTTGCCTAATTTGCATACCGTGCGATTTATACACCAAAGCGACTTATTTACGAATTTTTTCCCATATTTATAACCCAATTTTTGACTGAGATATGACTGTTTTCAAACATTCATTCTGACTGAAACTATTGAACACTACCATTTTCAGCCACTAGATGGCACTCGAGTAGCATAGCATGCCGGTGTGTCATGTAATAGGTAAAAGTGGCTATTAATGACACAATCGGTTTGCCACGGCTGCCACCTTTGTCCAGCTCGCTTGGAGCAACCATCAAATCAGCTTCATTTTGATGCACCGCCCTGGCAAAATGCAGCTTATTTGACCACTGAAGTGCATTTATTAAGTAAAAGATGAACTGAGACACACCTTTACTATAAAGTCAAGCAAACAAATAATTGTTTTTAGGTGGTTATCTTGTTAAATTTCGAAGAAATGCAAAGGAGTCATCCCTCTACGCGCTCCTGCTTCCGCGTATCGGCTTTTGAAATGCAGTTGATTTGACCGTCAAAGTGCATTTGTTACGCAAAAGTTAAGACGAGACAAACCTTTGCTATAATTTCGAGCAAACAAATAATTGATTTTAAGTGTTAATCTTGTTAAATGGCGTTCTAAGGTGCAGCTCAGACGGGATGAAAGCAGAAGGAGAACTTTGTGGGCGTAGAGCAACGGTCAGATTTGGCCCGGTTACGAGAGCGACACCCACGTCAGCGCCGACTCTCTCTCTCTGAGGAGGGGAGTCCAGAGGGTTCAAAGACAAACTAAAAAAAGCGTGCTCAGAGGAGAGGGGAACATGCTGACTTGACGAATCTCTAACGGAGTTGCGAGCTGAGCTGTTAATCCCTCGTAGAGGAAACGGTTCGAGCGGCAGGCAGGATGTTGGATGTGAGAAACTGCTTTCGGTGGTTGGTTCTGCTTTGCTAGAAGACTGGAAAGATTTCCCTGCCGTGCCAGGTGTCGAGGAGCTAAACCACCAACTCACCGAGGAACTGAATCACCTGCGTGAGGCCGTAAGAGACGGCAGCTCTGAAACGGCGTGCACAGCTCCGACATCCAGCTGGCAACTTTTCAACACTTCTCCACACAGCATTGTGTTTAAACTAATTCCACTCAAATGTTTTACTTTTTGTTTTACTGAGAACTTTAAAATGTCAGAAATCTGATCAACCCGGAAACAAATAAAGGCTATAACGGAGTGCATATCACCCGCTGCCATCCACGGTCGAGTTTTAATCCAAGACGGCCACCACAGCTGCATGTCATGTGACGTGTTAACGCTCAGCTTATGTTGGGAACAACTCTCATCTACTACCACTTAAACTTTACCTCTTTACCTGTAGTTCTGACCAGGTTAGATCTGAAAGCTTCATTAAAATCAGTCTAGTGGTTCATGAGTTATTTTGCTAACAGACGGATAGAATGAATAATGGCTAAGTTTTAAAATCAGATTTCACTCAATCAGGTAGCGCCTAAATTATGTGTTGGGGATGACTTTCAGCTACTACATCAACAAATTTGAGCCGAATATCCGAAAAACTGAGTGAATTTTAGCCATTTATGTGGCGGCGAAGGTAGCTGTGGTGGCCATCTTGAATAAGACTGACTCCAAAAGTTGATCAGATGAAGACATTCTTCCATTTGGTATTGGTGCAACTTTAGCTTTTTGAAATATTTAGCCTTTTCTGCCACTTTTTTCCTCAGAAAATGAATTGAGTTCATCTGTTTACAACCTTTTACTGCTACTTTCACATTTTGCTCTGCTTCAGCTTCTTTCAGCTTCCTGATGCAAATTAATTTTTTTTCAGCTACTTTCAGCTAATTTCAGCTGCGTTGTGATCCTTTTAGATTCTTTCTGCTAACTACAACATTATTGTGCTTCTTGTAACTTCTTTCTGCTAATATGATATCAGCTTGTTATGCTCCTTTCAGCTTAATTCTGCAATTTTAAGCTTTTTTTGCTACTATATAGCTGTTTTATGCTAATTTTAGCTTCTTTTTTTTAGATAATTTCACATTTTTTGCACTAATTTCAACTTTGTTCAGCCTAATTCAGCAACAACAAAAAAATGTGTTCTCCACTTCCTTCTGGTAATTTAAGCTTCTTTCTGCCTTTTTTTTAGCTACTGTTAGCTGTTTCTTTTTAATACTTTCAGATTTTTTTTTTTAGATAATTTTCATTTTTTTGTGCTCATTTCTGCTTCTTTAAGCCTACTTGGGCAAACATATTATTTTTACTTTCTTATGCTAATTTAAGCTTGTTCTACCTTTTCAGCTACCTTTTTTTTATTATTAGCATTTTTAGTTAATTCCAGCTGTTTTCAGATAAACTCAATTGCCTTGGGGTAATTTCTGCTACTTTCCGCCTAATTAACTTCTTTCTGTTAATTTTAGCTTGTTGTGCTCATTTCAGCTTTTTTCTACTAGTTTCAGCTTTTTCTGCCATTTCATGTACTTTTTAGCTGTTTTATGCAAATTTTAGCTTTTTCAGCTAATTCCACTTTTTTTATAGCTCATTTCATTTATTTCTATGTCCGTTTGGTAGGTTAAGCTTCTTTCTGCCTTTTTAGCTACTTTTCAGCTGTTTTTTTCTTTCTTTTTAATTTCAGCTTTTTTAGCTGATTTTCTCAATTGTGTGCCAATTTCTGTTTATTTAAACCTAATTCAGCAAATATGTGTTCTTTCTGCTTTCTTCTGCTAATTTAGACTTGTTCTTCCATTTCAGTTACATTTCAGCATGTTTTTAGCTCATTTTAGCTGTTTTTCAGCAAGTTCTTCTGCAATAATGAATTTTCGCAGGAAATGCAGTTTCTCTAGTTACAGTATAAAATCCAACGGCTTCATTAAAGACAGCTCCCTGTCTTCCTACCGTGCACCTCTTACCGTGCACAGCTCCCTGTCTTCCTACCGTGCACCTCTTACCGTGCACAGCTCCCTGTCTTCTTACCGTGCACGGCGCCGTCATCCGCGTTGGCGTTGACCCTCTTGTTGGCCAGAACCTGCACGTGCTTCCCGCTGGTTCGGCTGTACAGCTGGTAGGTTCGGGTCAGTCTGCGGCTCATCCGGTCCGACAGCCGGCTCTGCTCGGTCACATGCTGCTTGAAGTTCGGAGGAGTCTGCACGGAGTTCTGGAGAGCAAGAAACGCCATTTTTAATCTCAATGTATTAAAAAAAAAAAACTTGTCAATCAAACGCTGCTTCTTTTGATGTATGGCGCTTTTTGTGGGGGAGATGCTTTCAATGACCCTCGGAAATGACATGTCCCTCTGATAGGTTGTTTTACCACCGGTGATCTTTCACCTTCTCATGACTTCTTCGTCTTTTTTCTTTTTCTTCTTCTCCCCCTCCCCTGCTCTCCACCTCATTTCAGCCACATGTGTTTTAACAATTACCTTTTAGGCTGCAGCTCAACAGTTTTCAAGATGTTTGAATTGTTGCCAATCGCCATAGCGCCCATCATAAAATGTTTTCATTGTTATTGCAGCGAGTTGGAGGGCCGCAAGCCGCTAAGCAAAGTGCCTTTTTTATATATTTGACTCAAATTATATGTAAAAAAAAAGAAGTTCACAATATGGATATTTGAACAAACGCTGAGAGTTACCTGTGCGTAAAAGCAAAGCGCCGTGAACTGAAGTACCCTGGTGCAGAAAAACAACACGAAAACAATTAATGTTGCTTTAAAACACACACCGGACAAACATGTTGTTATTTTTTTCTTACTTACAGATAACCTAACCTCGATGTTCTCAGCCTCATCTTGTAGTAGATCAAATATTGCTTCATGAAGACTCCACTTGGTCGGTGCTGGAACACTCAGAAATGTTAAAGTTCTCGGTGGGGATCTTGGTTCAGCTTTAACCCCCCCTGTGTTCCACACAGAAAGAGAAGCGCATAACTGCGACCCCGAGCTGTCAGTGGATCTGATCTGCTCTCCACTTCTACAACCAGAGGTAAGTTGGGTCGATTTAAAAGGTGATCCTGATCCAAATGTCACCAAGTCATCACATCCCCTCTGTGAGAAATTAAAGAGGGTATGAATTCCGTTTGACGCGCCGCGGAGCGGGGATCTTTACGCACGGACCTTTACGCATCGTTTGGTGACATGGATGGAACGCGCCTCTGAAAGTAAAGACCCTGAGCCCTGCAGCTGTCTCTCTATAGGTGCAGATAGTAAAGTCCCAGCCTCAGCCCTTCCGCCCACACGTGTGTTGTTTCTCGCGGTCGCCTCCGGTGCGCGCACAGCATCTGTCTCCCTCCACATTGAAATCCTTCAACTTGCGGGGAAGTCAATATCTTGGGCGCGAGCGGGCGGAGCGTGCGGGCCGGAGCCAAGATGAAACTGAACTCTCTCAGCCTGCAACTAAAGCCACCAGTTCATCATCGACAAGCTGCACGTGAAAGGTGGACACTGCAAGTCATCAAATGAAATCCACACAACATCGTGTCTCACTTCCGTATGTTTCAAGCAAAATTAGTGACGTGTGTTTGTTTTCTGAAATGACTGAAAATAGCTTCAACGTTTTGTCTTTATGGTGCTTTAATCTATGCAGGTCAGTCACGTGACTCATACTTTGTTTACACTGAGCGCAGACCCGCTTCAGAACTCCATATCAATATATCTGCAGAGTAAACTCATTCAAACAGTCCAGGATACTTTATCTTTAATAATAAGTGCCTTTAGGCACACGAGGCAAAACATTACATTTAATCCACACTCTGTCCTGAATAAAAAGCTATCTGCGTGTCATAGATGGGTTGGATAGCAGCTAATGCATTAATCTCACTTATACGCTCACATCTCTTTAGTCTCGCAGAATCCCAGAACACTTAGTTTTCTGTCAGCAGAATGTCCACATGGAAACACTCCCTGGCAGGTACTTAAGACAGAAATCTACAGTTACATGAAGTTATTCCCCGGCTGCAGGTCGGAGGGCCTCTCAGGACAGACCCGATGTTCTTTTTATTCCATCCTTCATGTGAAATCCACGTTACTCTGTGCTTTTCACATCACGTCCCTTTCGCTTTCTCGCTCCCAAATAGAAACTTTTCTCTGTCTTGGTTTGGATTTGGAACAAAAAAAGAAGTGGTTTTTGCTTCTCAGCACGGTTCAAACATCATATAATTATTTTGTGACAATAAAGCTGCAGAGGGATTCCTTTAGAAAATGACTTTAATGGGTTTAAATGACAACCCGTCAGGAACAAACTCCAAACCTGGACTCTGCTAATGTAAAGTAAACTCGTGCATATGTTGTTTTGAGCACTGGACATGTATTTTAGGTGGAGTCCAGGTGTGCTGTGAGCCCTGAAACTGGTTTTCCTGTGGATGGTGTACAGCCCTGGTCCTCAAGGACCACTGTCCTGCATGTTTTACTTGTTTCTTTGCTCCAACTTACCTGTTCATTTTCTAGCATGTTAATCCTCTGTTGATGTGTTGGAGCAGAGAAACATCTAAAACATACATTACAGCAGCCCTTTAAAACCAGGACTGGACACCCCAGAGCACACATGCCAACATATGGCCTGCGGGCCAAAAGTGGCCTTTGCACAATCGCCATCTGGCCACCAGAAAAGAAAACAACTTTAAAATCAGTTGAAGAAAACATGTTTTTTTTAATCAATGAAGCTTGGGGATGCATATTAGACTTATATATTTTAATTATTATTTGTTTGCCTATATCAAGGTCAAGGTTCTTTATTGTCATTCGCATCGCATGTGGTACATGGTGGAACGAAATTGTGTACTCAAGGTCCCAGTTACATCCAACAAAAGTATAAATTGTTAAGAAAAACAGTAATAAGATCTAAGATCTGAACTAAGAATACACTGAACACTTAATAGCGCATAAACAGTAAAACGCCGGCAACAGCAGCACAAACATGAGTCTGTGTGAACAGATAAGTACGAATGAATACAGCAGAATGAAATAAATCAGCAGCATGAGATCAGCAGCATGGATAGTCAACATCACATATTATAGTGATTTTCTTTTTGTCCACAGTGACTTTCCTGATTAGAGATTCATGAGTCTAACAGCTTTAGGCTAGAAGCTGTTCTTAGTGGTTCTTCACTTAATGCTCCTCAACCTCCTGCCTGAGGGGAGTGGGGCAAAAAGTGTGTGTGCTGGGTGAGTGTGGTCCTTCATGATTCAGGTGGCCCACTTCCAGCATGTGGAGGTGTAGATGTCTGTGATGATTGAGAGGCTGACTCCAACATCTTCTGTGCAGCCTTCACCACTCTCTGCAAAGCTTTTCTCTCTGCAGCCGTGCAGCCTCCATGCCACACGTTGATGCTGGAGCACAGGATGCTCTCCACTGCACACCTGTAGAAGGAGGTGAGGACTGAGCTTCCCAGACCAGAGGAGTAGATGGTGGGGGTTAAGGGCCTTGCTCAAGAGGCCAGAGAGGGGCAAAGGAGGGTGGGGCAGGTGTGGGTGCATGCTTCACCTATCCCACGTACATTTTTGATGTTGCCAGTACCGGGAATTGAACCAGCGACCTTCCAATTACAGGCCCACCTTCTCTAAACTTTGCACCACCACTCTCATTGCAGCAAACATATAACCTTTTTTTTTTTTTTTTGTGCACATTTTTAGCTAACAATACAGAAAGTGCCCTAGAGCAGTGCTCATACTGGGGTCCCCGGACCCCCAGGGGTCCACAAGTCAGTGCTTGGGGGTCTGCCAAAAAAAAACTATAAAAAATATATTTTTTATAAGCATGTTTAACAATCTGTTAAAATACACCATCCATCCATCCATCCATTTTCTTTACCCGCTTATTCCATTTTGGGTCACGGGGGTCGCAGGTGCCCATGTCCAGCAATCACTGTGCGAGGGGCGGGGTACACCCTGGACGGGTCGCAAGTCCATCACAGGGACTGTTAAAATAGGCTTAATTGGCTTAATTTAAAATTTTCTGGGGGAGGAAAAAGACCCCATGTTTAAAAGTATAAAAACTGTATTAACTCTATTAAAGAGCAGGTCTTAAGTATTTATGTTACACAAATATTTCCATTGTATTTTAAAGAGACAAATTGAAGACAATTATTTAATAAACATGAGGGTTATGAGGGGGTCCCTGAAACTTTTTCTCCCCTGTAAGGGGTCCCTGAACCCAAAATGTTTGAGAAGCCTAGAGGGATACATTTTCATCAAACATGCTAATAACTTTGCTATAACCAAAACAAAAAGACCTGGAAATGTCCTCCAGATATAGCTATCTTAAAGGAAATTAATTTTTAAAGTCACATTTCTGCTTTTTGGTTGCTTTAAATAAAGCGATTTGGCCCAACATTTTTCAGTCAGGTCATCTGGACAGTTTCTTTTGGGGGTTTTTTTGTGCTGAAACTTTTCACCTTCCATCCAGAAGGCTTCATCAGTCAAAGAAACACACAAAACAAAACTGATTCTTCCCCAAACAGCTTACTCCAAAGTGGAACAAACCAGTTATGTTGGTGCTAAGATGGTGTCTTTGGCACGGCCCCTCCTCCAGTGCCGGCCCTCTCCCTCGTCGACAGTCATGTCAAACTGGTTCAAAACCAACAAAGTCCATGCTCAATAATCCAGGTATACAACCCAACAATTTTCAGCCAGGTCATCTGATCAAGTCAAGTGATTTGGCCTTTTGAAATCAAAATGTTGCCCACCTCTGCCCCAGAGGGCAGGGCTTGAAGTACGAAGGACGACTCAGAACTTCAGCAGAAAATCGGTTTTAGCGCAATATCTGAAAAACGAATAGATATTTAGGCTGTCGGCCATTTTGAACAGGAATGATTGTCCAGTGTCCGCCTATACTGAGATCATTAAAATCCATCCAACACACCCAGACAGACAGAAACAAACATGGCCGCCCATGTGTCAGCTGATAACTAGACTGTCAAAGCTTCTTATAGCAGCTTCATTAAACTCCAGTCTGTTTTCACAAACATTTGGGGAAACAGGCGAATCATCATCAGCAGTAAACGTTTCAGCGTAAATGTGGGCACGGGATGCTTTTTAATGGAAATAAATTATCTAAATTAATTCGCAGAAAAAGTGGATTTCTTGTATCATTCAGAAACAAAAGTCTGAATACAAAAACTAACGTAACGTTATCTAACCCTGCCTCTTAAGTAACTCTTAAACATCTGAGTTCTTTTGACGCTGGGTTGAATGATTATTCTTTGGCTAAGTGTCGGTGCTTTCACACTTTAACTCTGACTGTGACCGTTAACAGAATCAGTTTATTAAACCCAGAGCTTCAGATCTGAGCACCGTTGTGTTGAGCCAGAACAGATTTCTGGGCTCTTACCTGTGAGACGTTATAAAAGTGGGCCCTAACTCCAACTTGTTGCACCCGTCGCACAGAGCAGCTGTATAAAACTCCAATCCAGTACATATATAATTATGTGAGTTTGTTCAGCGTGTCAGCTGTAAATCAGTCGTTTGGGCCGTTTCAGGAGACTTAGAGGGTGAAAATGAACTTTCTTATTAGCTCCAGCGGGACTCTGCACCAACACATGGAACAGCTCAGAGCTTTCTGCTTTTATACCCTGAGCCACACCGAGCGACAATTAAACATCGAGATATAAAATCCACATGTAGGATTATTATCGCCCGCCACAGGAGGAGGAACGGTGATCATGTTGCTGCTTTGGCAGCCGATTCAAAATGGCTGCTACGACCAACACCAGAAGACACCTTACATTGTGGATACTGAGCTAAAGTTCGGTGTGGTAGCTGAGAGTCAGCCGCATAATAAACTCTGAGTGCTGCGCACTGCACAAAACTGTCTGTTAGCAAAATATCTTAAGAGCCACTGGGCAGATTTTAATGAAATTAAAGAAAGTAATTATTTGATTGACCCT